TTGCACACGATACGATTATGCCCAACCCTAGTACTTTAATAATTTTTTTTCTCTCATTTTATTTGTTTTTAATTCAAAAATTTCCCCATTATATTTGCACCTTGAACTTAATTACTGACAATGGCAATACCACAAGTGTTTTGCCTGGCTAAATTTTTCCCATTTTACCTGGAAAACATTAATACATTCTGCATATGAACACTGTATGCTTATTAACAACACATTAAGTATGAAGTACACCAGCCATGTTTAACAACCAAACATACAAGCATTAAATGGCACAGTCCTCAGTCCTGGACTGAGGCAACATGTGAATAAGCCTTTAATCAGACAGCAGTAGCACATTACCACATCACTACAACAAAATGCAGCTTAGTTTTGTCTTACAGTTTCTTTAACAACTACAATAAAAATCTTAAGTTTTTAAATCTATATTACACATTATAATTGTATAGTTTTCCTGAAAAAAAAAGTATGAATAATGTGCTGTTTTACTAATAATAATAATGGGAGAGCAATGCAGTTTAACCATCCACTCCAACAGGTCTGGTTACATCTGGTAAGCAGCTCCACAGTTACTCTGGCAACACACTGTCCCCCCTTTGTGACTATGAATCAGTCAGAAAGGGTCTCCATGGTGTGCCTTTCACACAAGTGCCAACAAATGTAAATATATTTAAAATTTTGTAGCACAAATTGTTTAGCCACCAACACGGATTTACTCGTTTCTAACAATGTCAAGCTATTTCTACAAGYGTAGCTTTGAAAACGTTACCTTTCTTGACGATGACCAAGTTCAGAACGCTGAGGTTGGCATCAACGATGCAACCACGGACAGATTTCCTTTTGCGCTCGCCAGTCCTCCGGGGACGGTAGCAGGAGTGGCCTTTGCTGAGCAGCAGACGCACACGGCCGTGGGTCAGTACACCCTGCTTCATGGGGAAGCCCTGCTTGTCGTTGCCTCCGCTGATGCGTACCACGTAGCCCTGAGGAAAARCAAAACACAAAGTTAGAAGTTCAGTGCTTTTGAACATAGGACGGGTGACATAAATGAACCTCATTAACAATGCTGTTTTCTCACCATTTATTCTCTTAGATTTAAGTATTTTTGTGAATTTCAACCACAAAATGGGACCACATCATCAATATATTACAATGACTATTTTTAAATGTCCACAAAATGTGTCTTTAACTGCACTGTTCCGTACCTCACATCTATTTTTTTCTTTTTATGTTTTAAATGGGGTGAATTCTTTTTAAAGTAGATGAGATTAGTTTTCTTACTAACAATGAACCAAACACAAATTATTTTTCCTCGCCAATTAGAACAAATGTTTTATTATGGATCTCAGTCAATACAAATGAGTTTGTGTAACAAATTTATAAGTTTTGTACAAATACTATTAACACAAGGTGAAAATGATCTATATTAAAAACACTAAGGTTGTGCTTATCTATAGTACCTTATACAATCTCACCTCAAGAACAGCCACCATTCTAATGATTTTTTACCAGACCAAAAACAACTCACTTGTTACTCTCACAAATATGAAACAAAAGACAATAATTGGGAGAGCATTGCTGTTTCAACCAGCCACAGTACTGCTGGTTGCATCTGATGGCGTCTCCACTGATGCTCTGGCAACACTATGTCCCACCTTAATGACTACAAATCAGTCAAAAAGGATCTCCTTGTGTGCCTTTTAAATTAAAGTTAAAAAAWCGGAACAATAAAAAATATCACCCTATCAGCAATGACATGCTTACCTTCCACTCATCACCTAGAGAGTCTGCAGCCACCTCAGTGGCCATACGCTTCTCGTAGAAGATGCGAAGCTTTCGCTCATCATCAACTTCAATCAGCTTCTGGCAGCCAGTAGCAGGGAATGAGATGTTTAGCTGCAAGAGGTGCAAACATTAGTTATGACCATCATGGGACCTGACTGTACAGGAAGATGTATAGCAATTAAGTGATGCTAAACTTGATTTTGCAGAAACCTATCTGAGACAATGACCTCCAACGTAAAACAAAAATTGAAACATGGGTTAGCTTGTGTGGACTGACTACAACAACTTAAATCAGAAAAGCTAAAAGGCCTGTTAGCTTCTCTACTTATTAGCTTAACTTCCCGCAGCCTTTAAACATTAGTGGTTAAAACTCCATGCAAATATAAATTTGGCTTATTAAACTACCACTATCACTCGGTCTGACTATTCGACACCGCTAATTYATGTTGAAGCTTTCTAAACATGTGGCAAAAGCGGCCATGTTTCTACAACTCATTTGCTACAAGCTCGTAGGCTAACTCTCGTCACAATCAACGCTCATCCTCCGCGACGAAGACGAAATGCTAGCTTTACGCAACACATTTACAACATACAACATCACAGCTTAAATAAAACTGTAATATTTCATTAAATGTAACCTTTCTTGAATAGATATGAGTATTCGAAGTTTGTACCTTCATTTTGCCAAACCGGCACAACGACGGTCTGCCAGGGAAAAGAGACAGGATATCCGCTTCGTGATTTCACATAGAGCTGAAAAGTCTCGCGATAACTTGGTCTCCAACCACACTGGTGCACGAGTTTATTTACAACACTTGCACTTACCTATGGCGGTGGCAAAACCATAAAACAGACGTGCCAAAAAACTACCTTAGGTGTATTATATAATACAATTTTATCACGTTATTTCACGAAAATTCACGTAATATCCTTTTAATTGAGTACAACTGCATATAAATGAGTTAAAACGTGGTTAAAAAAAATGCACATATCGGATTTCGCCAGAGGGCGACATAGAGCAACGCCACGTCTTCAGCTATTTACAATTTAAAGTTTTGTCATTGCACGAAGTAACATGGAACACGTTTCTATGGTCTCTAATTAAGCAAAACAATAACATTAGATAAATTAAACATCATAAACTCCATTGTGCCTGATTAATAACAGCAAACACAAAATAGCCATATTGCTTAATACAGAAAAAAACAATAATCATTTTAAAGAAAACATTTTAAACAAGCCCTCTTTCAAGTAATTATATTCTGTAAATATTTGCACATTTATATAAATAGTTAGTTAATTAAATAATCTCAGTAAAAGATGTTATGATTATAAGGTTACTGATTTGAACAATTTATTTTGAGATACTAAATTTAGATACCTTAAATTGAAATTAATAAAGTATGTCATATTTTTTTGAGATATTATCTTAATAAAGATGTGAGGGTAAATTGTTGTTTTAACTTTTACATTCATAATAAAGTAAGAATTGTTTATCCTTACTTCCGGGTTTGGAGCCACTTTTTCACCGAAGCAGGAAGCGCGAACAGTGAACACTCTTAACGATTAAACACTCTTTGGGTCCAGATCGAGCAGCTGTCAGAGGACGAGGTAGAGCGTCACGACAAGCTGGAGGCTTTTGTTGTTTTAAAGGAAGAAAATGCAGCACCGGAGCGATTTCTCTCAGCGACACTTGTCCACAGCAAGAGTCAGGATCCAGACATCACAGACAAGCTTGTAAACAACGAGCCAAGACTGTGGCTTATCCTGCTTGTTGTTTTTTGTTGGTTTTAATCTCCTAAACTGAGGCTGGACAGAGAGGGGTGCTTCTGTCCATCCGACAGGGACTAGTCCAGACATGAGTAACGTGGATCTGATTTTTTGGGACCAGTTGCAAGCTGGCAGCTCCGACGTGGATTGGTGTGAAGGCAATTACCTTATTTACCCCAGCATCGCTGAGTTTTACAACACGGTCAGTGGGATAACGGCGGTGGTGTTATTTTGCATAACGCACTTTTTGTTTACAGCTTGATGTCTGCCCTTTGCTTTGCTTCTTTCTCGCTATGCATCCTCTCAGATTTCGCACCACACGCTGACTGACACTTTGAAAAGTTTCTTTTAATGCTCCATTTCAGCTGCACGCTGATCAACACGTGTTTATTTATTTTTTTTGTTTGTTTGTTTGTTTCCTCTCATTTCAGATCAGCAACATTTTGTTTTTCGTCCTGCCTCCCATATTGATGTGCTTGTTCCGGGAGTATGCAGAACATTTCAACAGTGGGATCTACCTCATTTGGATCCTCCTGGTTGTGGTCGGTAAGTTGCGACCTCTTGACCCCCCAAAGCTCCACAGTTGTGATGAAGACCCCCACAGGAAGTCAGGTCGCAGTGTGGGCTGATAAAGAAATCAAACTAGTTTACAAGGGGAAAAAAACAAACAATTGTCTGCAGATGGAGTGGACTTAATCTGTCTAAGAGTCTGCTCATTTAATCCCAGATTGGTATAAAGTTGAGAATATTCAGCTTCAAGCTGCTGTTTCTATGTAATCTATTAAAGCTACTACACTAATTCACCAGGCACAGTTCAGGGGATAAATGTTGTCACTGTATGGCAGCAGAGTTTTAAAAAACACACAAGTTGCTCTGTCATCGAAGATGACTTGAACCCTCTCAAAAAAGATTTAAAAAAAAAAAACCCACACACCAACTCATTTCCCACCCCCTGTTGGTTCCCGAGAGGTGACCTTGTCAGAGACAGACCTGAACAGACCGAACAGGTTGTGTAACCATGTAGCAGAGATCACGTTTTAAAGTCAAACAAAAGCAGTTTTCTTCTCTCAGTAACTCAAATGTGATCCAYGCAGAAACACGAGTGCAAGAACCACGAATATACTGTTTTTTTTTTTTATTTGTGTAAAACTTTATCAGCTTAAATGTTTTTAATTTGTGCAGCAAGTCAAAGGTGACCAGAAGTGTTCTCAAATATTTAAGATCCTAAATATGTCTGATATTCATATTTTAAAGTACGAGCTGCTACATGCTCATCATTCATGCAGCCATGACTTAAACAGTCAGTTCATTTGTTAAAAAGGGAGCCGTGGCTGTGCAAGAAGAAGAGCTGGAATCTGCCTCAGCGTCCGTCCTGCCCACAGATTAGTCTGATAATGTGAGGTCTGCTGGTCAGTGATAACAAAGTGCCGCTGACTGAACTTTAAAATCCACTCTAAATATGTTTTTTTTCCTGCTAGTCTTAACTCGAACATGAAAAGTATCAAATGATATGCATTCCATGTATGCTTTTAAAATTGGCTGTCCACAATGTCTGTTTCCACAAATTGTTAAATCCAAAAGGTAATGAGCCGTGTTGACACCACGTAGCTTTTTACACAGTTTCCTGTCACTTAAAGTCTTTGTTCTGCTGCAGGAATTGGTTCAACTTATTTCCATGCGACTCTCAGCTTCCTGGGCCAGATGCTGGATGAGTTGGCCATCCTGTGGGTGCTCATGTGTGCCATCGCCATGTGGTTCCCCAAAAGATACCTGCCAAAGATGTTCAGGAGGAATCGGTACGTTATTTACCACAAGCAAAACGGATGCATGAAAACCGGGATGACCTGAGTGAGGTGCATTTATGAAGGCTGCAGATCTTCGGAGCTGGAGGTGTCCCATGCATTTGCCATGTTCTGCAAACAAAAAGAACAAATAAAATGTCACAATTTAAAGTTTAATGTGGGTCAGTGTCCTGTCTCATGAGGCATCCACAGCTGTGACACCTCTGGTTAATAATAGGCCCAGTATAGCTGACACCAGTAAAAGCTGCATCACATGTCTCTACTTCTCTTTCCATTGATGTCCCGTCACTGGCTGTCGCTTCATATTTACTCTGGTCTTTGCTCATCAAGCAGCTGAGCTGATTCTATGTTTATTGCATTCATTTAAAAATGTCGAGTCAAATATGGCTGACTAAAGGGCTTTACAAGCCAAAAATAATGTCACAAATTATCACTAAGTTGGTCATTTGAACTACAGTAAATATGTGAATGTCAGCTGCTCCTCACCCACAAATTCAGAGAAATAAGTTCCCCACTGAGGGACAATGAAGGTTATTAAAATTAATACTATTGAAAAAAGTAAAATAAACAAATTTTGATTGCAAATTAGAAGCCGATCTGCATTTTTTTAAAAAGAATGTTAGATTTGTTTTTAAATGATTCAGGATCTATGCATCTTTTATGCAGACATGTTGGTTGTTCCATAGAGGGACTACCAGGCTGTATTCATGCTGTTGTATAAACACAAAAATAACGACATGTTATGCCTTTTTTTTTGTTGTGCTGCTCCACTTAGGTTAAGGTTCAAAGTGGTCATCGGCATCTTGTCGGGGGTCACCACCGGGCTGGCCTTCGTTAAACCCGTCGTCAACTCGCTGTCACTCATGACTCTGGGCATCCCCTGCACAGCTCTGCTCATTACCGAACTCAAAAGGTGAGGGGGTGGGGGGGGTTAAACGCAAAGGGGCGAACYATCACCCTGGAGTGTAATACAACCAATCATATAAGTGTGCCAGCAAAGTCAACAACCCCTGCTCCATTAAAGGCTATAAAAACAAATTTGAGTCAGATATGAAGGAATTTCCTGCTCGTGTTCTCATTGAAGCGGARTTGCGAAACACTGACATGGTTTGTGTTGACGCCATTAAAAATGACTTTTTTTTGTTTTAGTTTGACTCACTTCCATCTCCATCATGTTTTGGTTTAAAGTGATTGTGTTGCTTTACCTTATGTTTACTTCTGCTTGTGTGTCTTATTGTGACTGTGCTGTCAAGAGTGGCAATCTGTTTTAAACCAAACTTTCTTAAAAGTTTGTTTTAAAAAAGTGAGGAGGTACAGCTTCTTCAATGAAAACTTATAGAATGTCAAAAACTTCAGAAAATCGGTCTCGTTTAAACAGTTACCGAAATAAATGTGTTGCTGAATTACGCAAAGCCAAACAACAATATTTTAAAAATCAAATTATTTCAGCCAGTAAGAATCCAAACATATTATTAGAAACGATGAAGTCAGTGACAGGTGAAAGTAACAATAAAACATTTAATAACAATTCACAAATCTCAGTAAATGGACTTCTTGTTTCTGATCATGAAAAAATTGCCAACTTATTTAATGAATATTTTATTTCTTCAGTAAGGACATCATTACCGGGACAAGCTAATAGTTTTAAAGTTATTTAAATATCCTGACACTTCAAAGCAATTTTCATTTTCTGAMATTTCACAGAGTGATGTTTTGAATACACTCCAATCTCTAAAGGGCTCACATGCATTTGACAAATATAAGATAAATATGGATTTCTTGAAAATGCATGCCAACACTTTTTTACCATTGTTTCATCATTTGCTTAAATTATGTATTGTGCAGTCTATTTTCCCTGATGCCTTCCTGAAATTCGGTATGCTTGTTTGTCTTTGTGTCTATGGTGTATAATGATGTGAWTGTGATGCTGTATTTCTGAGTGTTTTATGTGCTGCAGAACAGGAACSWGCTGTAAAACAGCAATTATGCYGAGTCAGGCTTGATTTTTAGTAATCTTTTCCTGTTAAATTAATAAATCAAATCAAATCAATTTTCAGCAACTTTAGAGAGTTTGATTAAAGGCAAATCCTACAGCTGTGGAGGGTAAAATGTGCCATTTCTCATCTGCAACAAGTAGGATAGTTGTTCATAACCTTTCCACAGAACCTCACTTCAAAAAGTTTGAATCTCCAAAACAAAAGGCAGTTTRTGATTGAATGATTAAATATCCTCATTTWAATTTTTAATTTTTTTTCCAGACGTGTTTTCTGTTCTCAGACGTCACAGAACTCACAAGCAGCTTCAGTTTGCTGACGTTTGAGACAGAAGAATGTAACACTTCTCCTGATAACAATGAATAGTCCACAGTAGAATAACCCATGACCTTTAACCTCTTGTTCTTTTACTTGTTGACGCTGTGTCTTTTTTGTTCGAGTCAACTAATAGCTTTTTTTGATGTGACAGAATATTCCTKGAAACACATCTCGTGCACATTTCTGCGTGCGTGTGTGGGTCTAATGTTTTCCTCAGTATCTGTGTGGATATGAGCTCTGGTGTTTCCGTTTCCCACAATCTATTACCTCCATCAGCCGTGAAACCTTCAGTCATCTATTGTTGGGTTTCTGTTGGGTATTTCTCAACATTGCTGCTGCTCCAGTCATCTGTGCGAGCATCTTGTTTTTGCTTTACTGTGTCCAAAAGAATTCCTGTGACCCTGACTAATGACTTCTGCCCTCGGAAAGAGCTCAGTATTTTTGAAGAAAAACAAAGTGTTTCAGACACCCATTATACTAAGAGTTATGTAAAGTGAAAGAGTTGCAGTAGAAATAGAAGTGATAATTATGCTGCAACATCAAAGTGAAAAAGACTACAAAAGGAAAGTGTGCATGCATGTGAGGACAACCTWCACGTCAGTTTCACATTACTTGGTTAGCGTTGCCTGCGGCTGATGTTTTTGCCCGTGTCTGTGTGGTTATTTGTCTGTAGTGTTAGCAAAATATCTTGTGAACTGTTGGACGGGTTTTAGAAAATAATCACGAGTTGTTCATCTAAAACTCATCTTTTGGAGTCAAGTAGGCTGCCACTGCTAATTGAGTTTAACAAACACTAAAATGGCTTTAACTCAATAAATTTTATATTGAGCTTAAAGTTGGTGTGCTGGTAGTTTAGAGTTGTCCTCAACACATAATGTTCTCACAGTATCACACATAACATTGTTTAGCTTGACCAAAATGCCGATGACTTTGTCGCTTTTCAGCAGAGGATTATTTTAATTTAAAACTCTGGCATGAAAGGTGGCGGGTAATATGCATTTCTTCAAGGTCTTTAATTTCCATATTATTTTCATGCTCAAACAGGAGCAGCAGCTGCTATCTGCACCACTTCACATGCAGCCTGAGGCCATTTCATACAGTAATATTAGACCGTTTCTGCCAGAATAACCATGTCCTGCAAAACTGATCGCAAAGTAAAAGTTAATAAAATAACACTCACTGGAACCTCTAATTTTTGATTGAGATTGGAGCTGTTTTAAAACTACAGCATTCCACTTTGGTCTTCCTCTTCTCAGACTATAATTCATCACTCATAATAAAACTCACCAAACTGAGGATGTTGAAAAAAATCTATAACAGGTAAGATGTTTACTGTTCATAACCTTTCCACAGAACCCCTCTTTTAAAGATTTAAACTATCGCTGTGCACACTGAAACCAAACTGGTTTAGTAAGGAAACTAAAGAACAGTCACTGAAAATTTTCAGAAAGAGATGATGTGTTTGTCTCCATGTGTCCCTGTGATGGACTTGCGACCTGTCCCGGGTGTCCTCCACCCCTCACACAGCGACAGTTGGAGATAGGCACCAGCTCCCAGCGACCCAGAAAGAAAAACCAGTAAAGAAAATTGATGGTTCGATGGGTGGAATAATGTCAATCATATAACAGAATTGTACAATTTTTACAATCTCCTGTTTTAACTGTGGAAAGAATAATCTCGTTATCCTCCTCTTCCAAACTTAAAGCCACATCAGATTATGTAATGATAAATTCACTCATCTCACATTTGATTTCCAATTATTTTTAACTTTGAGTTGTGCTGCAGGAATATCTTTTTTTCTGTTTGCAAACAATGATCTCACCTTGTGTTTTATATCTTTGCTTGCAATGGACATTATGTACACTTAATAACCAAGTGTCTTAGTGTCTGATGCACATGGCTTGGAGTATAATCAGTWTGGCATTTCCTTCTATTCTAGTACTTCCTGTTGTTAATGAGATGCTATGACACTTTTCCTCTTCCCCATCTGAACGTCTTATGTAACGAAAAAAAAAAACATTTGAACAAGTTTAACACACTACTTGTGAATCAAACATATCACTTAGTTTTTTTTATAGACCAGTCTTGTTTAACTTAAAATTTAAGACATTATTGCTTTTTTTTTGTTTTGTTTGTTTGTTTGTTGCAGTTGTTGCACTACATTTTATTATTAATTATTATTAGTTGCATAAATACATTTTTTTTAAAATTTGCATTTCAGTTTGGAGCATTTATTACATTTTGATATCAAATTTTCTTATGATAAATACGTAGCTAATGGGTTATTATGACCCCCGCACGCGAAGCGTAAGTGGGAGTTATATTGTTTTCGTACTGTTTGTTTTTATTTATTTATTTTTTCAGTGATTTTTGGTCAGCCGTTGCACAAAAACGGCTGCACCGGTCAACATGAAATTTGGCAGGACTGTAGATGAGTCCGACCTACACTGCGCCAGCCAACGGTTTTACGATAGACCCCATATTTGAGGAGGGGGCTCCTTTCAAAGTGGGGGTGTCTGGACAGGGAAAAATGCTTATAACTCAGAAACTGTTCAACATAGGAGCTTAAGATTTTTTTGGTTGCTTAGCTCTGATGGAGCTCTATCCATCAGGCCCACCAATCAGTGCCCCCCCCCCACTCCCTCGGACCCCCCAATTAATCTGAAAAAGGGGTATCTGGACATACAAAAGTGGTAATACCTCAAAAACTATTGAACATAGGGGCTTCAGATTTCTTTTGTTGTTCAGCTCTGATGAGGAGCTATCCATCAGGTCCACCCCCACCACACACACACAAAAAAGATCCCCACCCAAACTACTACAATTTTGGGATGCATCTTGTAGCATGACATTTATTAGGAATAAAGACTTCTGAGTCCTGGTGCATTTGTGCGTGCGGGGGTCATTATGTTACCACTATGCGGTATCTAGTTGTTTTTCAGAAGGCTTCATGTCTGATGCATTTGATAAAAATCTCCATCCCTGGCCGACATAGTATCGTTTGCAAATTCAGTAACTTTTACAAACCCAACAGATAATCAGGTATTTCTATTTATTTTAAATGATTCTTGTTGGCAATATTAGTGTTAAAAATTGTTCAAACTTTAGGTTTTGTGGCGCCTCTCTGCTTTAAGCAACAAATTAGTAGCATGTAAAGATGCTGGGACTTCATCACAGTCAGTGTATGAAGAGCAGCGGACACACTGTCACTGTAAGCACACTGCTGCATCATCAGCTCTGTCACACTCAGGCTTCCTCTGTTTTGGGGTCTGCATCGACACTGGATTTTCTTAAGGAGGACAGTTCCAAGAATAGTTCATCAGTGGCACTCTGGATTAGCACATCTTTGTAGGTCAGGGATGTGTTTGTTTATGTAGCGAGTTACTGTAATTACGAAACTTTTCCTTCTCACACACTCACAGTACACTGCAGTTTTGTGTAAAAAATATATTAGATTAGTGGCCTGTACAACACAACATTATTTTTTATTATCTTGAAGAAATAACCTAAACATAACAACAAAAGAAAGTATAACAATGTGTGGGCAGTTGGCTGTGGAAGTCATCTCGCCTCAAATTAATGGTTTAGACATTAATGGCAGAATATTGAGTTTTCAGCCAGTTCAGATGTTATCAGTTCATTAAATGGATGTTATAAGCGGCTATCAGCCACGTAGAATGGCTTCAGACTGTCCCGACAATGCCTCCTAGTGGGTTACCAGTGCCATATACGTTGGAATGCAACAATCTGCTACTGCCAGAGTCTGGTCTACTTTATCGTAGCCTGTGTCGTTTTCTCTAAAATTAACTTTAGTGGCTTTATGCCTCATACTAACCAGCTGACAGTCTGAAGCCATTCATTTGGGATGGAGAACACACTAGGCGGCACAGTCTGAAGCTATTCTATGGGACTGATAATGGCTAATAACGTCCATTTAATGGATGATAACATCCGAAGCGGGTGCAGCTATTTTGAGTGAAGAATAAAGTTACATTGTTATATAAGCTGCACACAGACTACTTTTCATTGTGTCAAAGTGTCATTTTGTTAATGTTGTTCCATGAAAAGATATACTTAAATATCTGCAGGATTGTGAGGGGTGTACTCTCTTTTGTGACACACTGTACAACCTGGGATTATTTTCTGAGGGTTTTATTAAAAACTGTTCTGTTTTCATTTTTGTTTGTGGGGCTTAATACTGTAGACCTGATATATTATTTATTAAAAAATAAATAAAATAAAAACTCCCAAAGTGGCCCAATAGGTATTTACGAACATCAGCAAATAGACTTGTCAGAAATGAAGTGATGACGACTTCTGTGGTGTGCTTTGGAGCAGGACAGCATGGTGCTGCTGGTCCACATGTACAAATCACACAAACACATGTTCAGCTTTGACTGTGGGCAACCAAAACCTGTTTTAAAGTATCTAATTTTTCTGCTGTATTGTATATCTGCCAAGCTGACAGAATAAAACAAAAGTGGTAGTTTTACCAAGGAGGAGGAGGAAAAACAAGCTGTGTCCACCTCCTCCAATGAGCCGAATACAGTGAATCAATACTGTTTTGTGACTAATTGCCAGGCTCATAAGAAATGTTACCACATATTTGACAGAACTCCAATCCAACGATTCAATGAAAAAGACCAAACTATCCCTTTAAAGTGAATAAAAGCTGCTCATTTGACACATGAAGTTGAAACATGAAAGCAGCAGTTAGCACATAAACTTACAAACAAACAATAAATAAACTTCCTCATATGAACCTGTTATAATGTATAAACATTTGAACGTTGTACTAGATAGAAGTCCAGGTTGTTTCCCTGTGTTTGTGTGTGTCTTTCAGAGTGACCTTTTTTCTGTTACAGGTGTGAAAACCCACGTGTGTTCAAGCTTGGGCTGATCTCAGGGATCTGGTGGACGCTGGCTCTGCTCTGCTGGATCAGCGACAGGATATTCTGTGAAATGTGGTCATCTGTTAACTTTCCCTACCTTCACTGTGCTTGGTAAGCTCAGCGCCAGATGGGATAACCTCATTTATATTTGATCATGTGGCACTCAAGAGAAAATCAAAACTAATGGAAAGCATGCTGCCATCATCGACTGAATTAGTCAGTTTATTTTCTGAGGGAAAATCTGCCACGTATTTCAGGAAATATTTTAAACAGACAGACAAAAACAGGCATTTACATCTTCGTCTACTGTTCAGTGGCAGCTGATGATGCGATATTTACATTGTTTCCTGTCGAATCATGTCACAACTAGCTTCGCTCATTAAAACTTTCCTCCTGCGTCCACAGGCACATCCTCATCTGCCTGGCCTCCTACCTGGGCTGCGTTTGCTTCGCCTACTTCGATGTTGCGACCGAGGCCCCGGAGCGCGGCCCCGTCATTATGTTTTGGCCCAACGAGAAGTGGGCATTCATTGGTGTGCCCTACGTCTCCTTACTCTGCGTCCCCAAGAAGTCAACCATCAAGGTGACGTAACGTGGCCAGAGTTCTCTGCTCTGCGGCCTCGACGCCGACGAGCTGCGCCTCTGACAGCCATGCTGCCGTCGCTTGAGGGGTGTCCGCCTCTCAAGCACGTGAAAGGATGAACTTGCTCCTCCTCTGGATGGAATTTGATGTCACTCTGTTTTAACGTGCAGGCTTACGTTTTAACATCGAAGCAGAAAAACATCTCCTTCTCTGCTTGAGACATCAGGTAATCTGTAACGAGACTTCTTTGAAGATAAATGTAATGTGTTTTATGATTGTTCCAAAACCTCAGTACAACAAATGATGCCTTTCAACCAATACACCAGCTCATACATGCTGCTTGGCCATTCAAAAACATGCTGAGAAAGCATATAGCCCTGAATCAATTGACCATGAATCATATAAACTCACAGCTATCAGGGAGTTGTGTAACCTTTTGAATTCACAAGAACCAAGAAGGTAATTCACACAAAGCCTTATGTTGTTTTATATTTGTGGTTTGTGCTGAAATGCTTTGTAATGAAGGATGTGAGAAACATGTTGGACATCCTTTACTTTCAGCTATTGTGATTGTTGAGAATAACTTAAGAGAATTGTTATTTAAAATGTGCTTGTGTGTATTTTATTACCCAGTATTGTAATATGCAGTTGCTTTCCAAAGAAAATAATATTTATCCTATATTTCTACAAAAATAGGTACTTTTACAACAGCCAAAATAAAAATAAAAAACGAATCTGAACATTTAAACAGGAATATTACACTCTGAATATTGAATCTAAAAATATGCTAATATTTAGCTTTTCAATTTCAAAGGTTTACACSTAGTTTTTCTCTTGGACATCTAAGTGTGTTAGGTTTTCCTGCAGGTTGAGCCACCTTGGAAATAGCAAAGTTTTAATTTTGGTTGACGTGAATGTGCTTTGTGTCTGAAAGTTTATGGTCACCACTCGCTAAGCATTCTTTAAAAATGCAAAACAAGCACTTCATCAGTTAACAAACCGATCTGCTGAATAACTATTAAATAAAAGAATGGAGAAACTAATAAGATCATACTGTTTGTTAGCTTGCCAGTCTGGTCAGAATTAAGTTCTGTTTCTCCAAAGTGAGCTATCAGGAAAAGCTACGTGTCTCCAACAGGTTAGATAGTAATTTTTTTTTATAATAACTTGTATCTCTTTAAGCCAAGTCTAAAGTAGATGTGTTCATCAGACAAAAAACCCATCATAGGTGTGATCAATAAGGGATGTAATATGGGTGTAACACAAAATGCTCACCCACAAAGCACAAGAATCTTGAACACTTTTTCATCTCAAACCTTGATTGGATATGCCTCCGTCCCTTAAAGCAGCTTTATGTTCTGCCTGTCATTATGCAGAGGATTCTGGGAACACAGCCTGCAAAAATGTGTTGTGCAATCGTGACAATTAAAATGAAGATCTTTTTTTTCCCAAAGAGACCAGCTGTTTCATGTAGAAACTGAGGCAGTTATTTTTAACAGCAGTAGTTTAACATGATTTAGTTTATTTTTTTGTAAGTTTTTTTTTGTAACATGGAGAAGCAGCCAAATACTGATGTGTGTATGAGTTTGATTTTACAGTATTACTATTTTTTGTAAGGCCAGGCCTTTTAAATGTAAGTTTAGGAGAGGTTTGAGAAACAATGTGAAGAAATAAAACTTTTAGTGTATCACAGGAAACACTGAGTAATGCAGGTGAACTTATTTGTGCCATGTAGTGAAAACAGAGGAAAATTAAGGAAAGCCAGTGAAATCAGCTTCAGGTGAGGAAATGAACAGAGCAGATGGTTAAATTATGTGATGTTTAACCACAGACAGGARGTTTTACTTTTTTACTTACAGTTATATGAATCTCAGTGCTGTTTCACTTGCATTGACAATACAGATAAAATGCACAGAAATATTTATTTTCATAAATGATCCTGTTTTGTAAACAGACATTTGTAATGTAGAATTTTGGTGTATTGTTTTATGTAATAAATGAACCAAATATATATGTATCTTGAAATTATTTTTCTAAATGAAATATTACAAGTAAGTATATTCTGTATTTCCAACTTTCCCCCATTCTTTGTGCTCTATGTTTTGAAGATGACTCCAAACATTGCAGGAGGCAGTAGCTGCCACCAGGGGGCAGAGTTACATTTTATGTAATATTTTTCTGACTTGGATGAAAAAAAAAAGCCTGCTTTATTAAACCCCTTTATCCTCCAAAACACTTTTTTAAATAAATAATTACATTCCTTTAAAGCTTCATTAAAATATGTATATTGGTTTGTGTAATATTTTACTAGCACTACAAATACACACTCATTCAGACACAAACATAGGCTGCTTTACATTGGCTGCAAGTAACAAGATGCACTCAATAAGATGTGTTTAAGCAAAATGCTGATCAAATTTTTTTACATCTATATTAAATAAAAACGATTTTCATCCATTGCACTGCAATAAGTCCTAAAATTTAGCCTGAAAGAACATTATCTGCTCTAAAATTAGTATTTATAACAACAATAACATTAATAAAATTACTAGTATACTATTACTACAAGACTGCTACCAATAAACAACAACGACAATAGTAATAATAATAATAATAATAATAATAATAATAATAATAATAAACAATGAGCATTCATTCAAATGTTATGTACCATTGTGTTGTAGTTTCTATTGATTTAATGAGCATTAAACATTCCTGGATATAATTACATTCCAGATAAAAATAAACTATTTTTTACATAAGGCTTTGCTCATTATTTAACATGCCATGTTGCCCTGATTAGCTTTTGTTTTAGTCTGTACTTATTGAGCATTTTTACAGAAGTATTAAATTACAATCTGCAATAATAAAGTGGGTAAATTAGTCTTTAAATATGAAAATTAAGTCATGAAAGAGAGGTATTATAATTGTTTTACGGCATGAGAACAAGGGGGAAGAAGCCCCGCCTCTTTAAATTACTGAAGCCTCTGATTGGCTCAGAGGCATGTCACTCAAATGACTGCCATGTCTGTGGGTCTGAACAGTCTGCTGAGAGCCCCCTGTGTTTCTGCCTCACCTTCAGAGCTTTGTTGGACGCGCAGCCCGGTGTGTTCGGACAGACCTGACGCCGCTGGGCCTTTTGTCAGCGCACAAACAAGATGACACGGAGGACGACAGCTGATGGCGCGCTTATCGAGACATAAACAAACATCAAAGGGTGTTCCCACCAATTGGGCTGTTTCAAAATAAAGAGAAGCGTCGATGCGAGTCCTCCCCATCATCATCGTCATCATCGTCGCGCGGACGTCGTTTCTAAAATGATGTCAGGAAAGCATTTCAAGGCTCAGGAAGTGAGCTGCTGCATCAAGTATTTCATTTTCGGATTCAACATCATTTTCTGGGTGAGTCCGAGGTTTGTTCTGTTTGACTTGAACACACTGACAGGACGTTGTTTGGTTTTGTTGCTGGRCACACACACAGAGAGAGGGGGTTTCATCCCTGCAGTCTGTTCACTTCTCTGTGCACTTGTCTCCCATCAAACCCTCACTTTCGCTTTTTGTTTACACTGAAGCCTCCTGAGGTTCGGGCAGAGCTGTCATCATCTGTAATCAGCCTGTGCAAACCCGCTGCAGAGAAAAACAAACACCTCTTCTCATCAGCCCTGGCACACACATGAACACTGCACACACACAAACATAACACAACACTGGGCCTTCCAATCACCACCTGGTGGCCTGCTGTTTCACTTCACTGGCAACAGTAAAGAAGAAATTGGATTTTTTTTCTCTATAAATTCATAATCAGTTAAAACTATAATGTAAAATTGAAGGCAGGAATCAGAAACTACCTTTTTTTTATCCACAGATAAACTCAATAAATCAGTATAACAATAATTAGAAACTACAAAGTGCACAGTGGATATGGTCCGGGCTCATTTTACATCCACATATCTGAGCTCAGTTATGATTGWTTTGATGACAAACGAATACTGTATAATGTATGCCAAAGTATTCTAGATCATCGACATATTATATACAAGGTGTGTCAAACTCATTTTAATAGAGGGCCATATGAGGGTTATGATGGCCCTCAAATATGGTGTGGTATGAGGGCCAAAATTAAGACGATAAAATCTAATAGACAATAATAGACTATAGCTATTCCTAAGCCAGATATTGATCTGATTAATGATAGGCACCAGTAACAGAGCAGCTGGCCTCAGTAACTGAGAGGCTGGTGTTACACCAAATTCTGCGACCCATCATATTCTGCGACCACAGCATCGAGAAGATTATTTGCTTAAACTGCGTAAGCTTTGATACATCAGAGATTGTAAACTTCACGAATTCAATGCGATGGTCCGTCCAATCCAGCATCAAATACAAACAAATACATTATTTTTTTTTACGTCAATGCGACCGAAATAATATTCTGTGAAGTTTACAATTGCTGATGTATCAGTGCTTACAGTGAGGTGTTATGTTTGTGACTGTGAAATAAAAATTACAGAAATACTATTTTTTTTTTTAAAGTAAGGGAGTTTTCCTCACTGGTAAATTGTGTTGAGTAGCTGCCATCTTAAATTCTGCACTCTTCCACTCACTGTTATGGAATTCCCACTGGAGGAGCTTTTAAATTTTAATTTTACAATWTGTAAGTGGGGCATTCCCACTTCCCAGTTACAACTGGGTTGCAGCAAAAGTAGCCGGCGCAAAGGCAGTGAAATTAAGTCTGCTCCACCCACTGGTGGGAAACCATTATTTATTTATTTATTTATTTATTTATTTATTGACTGACATACTTCTTTCTTTCTTACTCACTCACTTACTTACTCACTTACTTACTTACTCACTCACTCACTAACTTACTCACTCACTTACTTACTCACTTACTCACTCACTCACTTACTTACTCACTTACTTACTTACTCACTCACTTACTTACTCACTCACTCACTTACTTACTCACTTACTCACTTACTCACTTACTTACTCACTTACTCACATACTTACTCACTTACTCACATACTTACTCACTTACTCACTCACTTACTTACTCACTTACTCACTCACTCACTTACTTACTCACTTACTTACTTACTTACTCACTTACTCACTCACTTACTTACTCACTTACTCACTCACTCACTTA